TTGCTAAAATATATACATACCTGAAAAAAGTATTAAAAAACAAAACCACAAGCTAATCATCAAACCTGTGTAGATATTTCTTTATATTTAGGATGCTGAAACCCACCTGCACCTGACCTGAGGCTGAGGCTGAGAAGCAGTTCCATGAAGTTCCTGCTTAATTCGCACATCTCTCGGTGGCTTGGCAACAGTGTGAATAAATGCCATCTTCACCTGCCGACCTAAAGAAAAGAAAAAGGGGTCACTGTGTGCATTACGATAGGCCTACATCTTATTTTTCAACAGTACAAAATGTGTATAAACTAATAATTGTTTCATTTTGTATGGTTTTGATTAGAACTTTTACCATGATCCACACAAAATGCTGAACATCACACACCTTTGGGTTTGGTAGAATTTGCAGAGACGATGCTTTTTGTCAGTCTTTTTAGTTTCCTTTCCCTTTCCTCAGACAGTCTGACATACATCTCTTTCCAGGATTCATACTCCTGAAGTCTGGAGTCTTTAAAGTCCCTCTGACAATGTTTCCCCCATAAGTGATCCGTCTCTCCGATGTAGATCTGTGGAAACAAAAAAATAAAGGGCTAACAACCGATAGACATCTCAATCTAAGTTATATACATTACTACAGGAACTTCTAATCTCTACCCAAGGTCTACAGAGTTTCGTTTATTGCAGAAAAAACTGACATACACTCAGTGGCCACTGTAGGTAAACCTGCTAATTAACAGCCTTCAGAGCTCCTTTAAATCTGGCACATCACAGCATAAAGCATGTGGTCAGAGAGGTTACTTTAAACTAGACACAAATAGTAGAATGTAACTAAGTCCATTTACCAAATACTGTAGCCGAGTATATTTTGGAGGTCCTTATGCTAATTTATACTTCTACTCCACTACATTTATGAGGCAAATTACTATACAAGATTACTTAAATTGCAGATTTCTGATACAAAACACTTTATGATCTAGTATTGTAAATTAAGCCAGCAGTATAAGTTATTTAATCACTTTATTGCAGCTATAACTTTAATCCACTAATATAATATATTATTCTAAAATGGTTACTTATTTAAGAAACATTTTGAATGCAGGACTTTTACTTGAAAACGTATACACTTCATGTGACTTGCGTCTGACTTTGCATATAAGACGATTTACCCAAACATTAATACTCACAAGGGACTGAAAAGTAACATATTCATAAAAAAAGGGTGGGTCCAATGCAGAGCTAGGCAGTTGTACCTAATAAAGTGGCCACCAAGTGTGTGTCTGCATTAAATGTATTCATATTCACATTCTTACTGGGTTGCATTCTTCTATGTGTAGCAGCTGCTGGGGTGTACACCTCTCCAACACCGGCTCGAGGATCTTAAACGGGACTCCGCCCGTTTCATAAAGCACTGAGGAGAGATCCCTGCAGCTGAATATAAATCCAACAAACTGACATACTGATCAGCAGAAAAGCTTATTTTTTGCGTAACTCACAGTTAATGTTATTCTGCAGTGTGCGGATACACTGCTGGTGCAAGCTCATCATGGCCGGGAGAAAGATGGTCTTGGCACCGGAGTACACCTGCATCTTTTTGTTCAGGCGTTGACCGGTGAAGCCTGCAGACTCCTCAGAGACTTCACAGAAATCAGGCTCCTTCTCATCTTTAAGACAAAATAAGGAGTGTCAAGAACGACATAACCAATCTGAAAGTACAGCTGTGTTTGTCATTAATAAGGTACCTTTCTTCTCAAAGTAATCAACAGTGAATTGGTTTTCACATTCAGGCAGCAAATCGGGTAAAGGAATGGCGAATGGAATCAGTTCCATTACAGACTCCTTAAACGTCTGAAACATTAATGATTCAAAGTCAATTTTACTCAACCACAGCCTGAACTCTAAAAGTGTAACTTTTGAGAATATTGTCAAACATACCTTTGTTGGCGAGGTATTATTTATGGACATCATAGGTGACCTGTTAGGTTGTATTGCAGCATCTTGTGTTGCTTTTACAACAGTCTTGATTGTCTTTGAAGGTTTCTTCACTCCAGATCTCTGTTTTCTCTTGGAAGCGTTCCCATCATAGTTCAAGAAAGATTCAAAAGACAAGGATGATTCCTCACAGCCCTTTTTCTCATCGTTGAGCTCTATTTTGGCTTTTTTGTTTTTTGAATGTCCCATTTTTTCATATTTGTGTTTTAGAGGGCCCTGCGTCTCTTTACTTGTTTTTTTGTTTTGGCCCTCTGAGCTCCTAGATATTTCTGGAGATCTTTCATGTTTGAAACTAGCTAGCTTTCTGAATGTTTCTGAATGTTTTTCAATGGATTTAAATGAAAAAGATTCTTTGGCTTGTTTGGATGATTCTTTTTGTTGCTTATTTGATTTTTTTTCTGAACTTGATTTTCGATGAGTGTCCTCTGAGTTTTTGTTTTGAGGCAGAGTTACAGTGTCTCCTGATTTTCTTTTGCTCTCATCACTTTTCTTCTTTTTGGAGACAACATAATCGTCAATCTGATCCTCTTTGGTTTTAATGTACTTTTTCAAGACCTCATTTTGAACAATGTCCTGGGTTTCTTGACTTTTTCCTTGATTTTCATCCTGGTCCTTGTGTCTTTTCCCTACCTTACATTGTTTCTCTGTATCAGCTTTTGCATTACTTGTTTTGAAGAGGGCCTCATCTGATGAGTTAGTACTGTAAGATGGTAAGCAATTATTGTTTGAATCTTCCATTGTCAAACTTCCATTATTTGGACACTTTTGGTCTTTACCAGGCAAACTCTCGCAAATCCCATTTTCTGTGTGGCTGCATCAAGAAAAAAACAAATCAAGATTAAGATGTCAACGAATGAAATTACAGTAAACTGTTAAATTAAGGATATGTTAAATTATGTGTCACCTTGTAGATTCCTTGGGGACCAAGTTTTTCCAACCCCTAACTAGCGACTTGGCCAATTCTCCCCCCTGCTTATGTCTCCGGAAAGAGTTAACTGCTTTTCCAATTCCAGTTTCCTAATTTATACGCAGACACAGAGCAGTCAAAGAAAATAAAGAAAATATTCATATATTAACACAAAGTCAATTAACAGAGACTTACAGCAAGAATGTCAAATGTAATATCCAGATCCTTGAGTTTCCGCAAAATCTTTACAACCTGGAAAGAGAAATACAAAAACATTCATTATTGCTTGAAATGGTTTTCATGATTGTTTTACTACTAGAATCAAGGAAAACCTGTCATGCCAAATATGGTATTCCTGGCTTTGGATCACCACAGTTGCTGAGTGTGCATTTAGAGCAGTTGCTATGTATGGGAAACTCAAACACCCTCTTAGGTGGCTCCTTTTACTGTGAACTATAAATGGATAAAGCTGCTGCCAGTTATAAAGTGTGTAACACAATTATATTCAGGTTGTGCTCCTACACGTTAATTCGTTTTGTATTTAATTTAGGTTAAATCTATTTCAAATATTGGCAATTGTTTAAGTCCATCTAGGCATAAAAGTGAGTTAAACAGCAGAGCGCCCAACCTCCACTGATGATGGACAGCAGCCACAAGTTGAACAACTGGAGGAGTTGCCAAATATAGCAGGAGGGCAACTCCCATTGAAAACACTCAGCCTGACCCACAGCGAAGGGCCTACAACGCTGTGTGGCAGGAGGCACGTGTCATTGGCACTCAGCTCTCAATCAGCCTGTTTTACACATTATCAAGGATACAAGAAGAGCGTCAGGAAGTAAAAGAGCCCACAGAGTTTGTAATAAAAAACTTCCGAACCAGCATTAGTGTTTCTGCACCAATTGTTTGACGTGTCATATGCACTCACTAAACGGTAGTTGGCCTACTGCAAACATTTTCATCCCTAAACCCAGGAACTTTTCCAATCAGCTCTGCTTGTTGTGGGCAAGAAATAAATGAATATTATCTACCGTAGCAGACTCTGCAGTGTCTGTCAGCTGAAGTTTGTACCGCGCTACTTTCTTCACCACATCAGAGCTGCTTGCCATCACGGTGATTCACGTGCATCCGTCCACTCACACCGGGCAGCGCGCCCCCATTGATGACATTATTATAATGGGCGGAGCCGATAAATTAATCGATGTGGGAGTGGGACACATGGTTAAGAAAATATCAAACAATTAAGGATTGTACGTGAAATATATGACACAATAAATGCACTTAGTGTGTCTATAGAGAACTTAATTATGTAAAGTAGGAAATGAACTTTCCAACAAGCCTGCGGGGCCCTCTAGGAACTTTAGGCCCAATAAATTGGTAAATAAAACAAATATTTCTCATTCTTCAAACCAGAAATTTAAAAAATCCTTCTCCTCTATGCAAGAATTTAACAAAAATATTTGTATCTCATTTCATAATTGCTCGGGGGAATTGGTTTATTGTGTATTTTGAGAAAACGAATGTCTAAATGTGTACATCTTTTAGTTTTCATCAATCAACGAAGAAACCATACAATATGAGCTGGACATATTCCTATGTCTTGTCAAACTGTGAAATGTAGTCCTACCTTTTTTCTGTTCCTTGAGACGTTTTTATTTCCTCTGAGCTTAATGACACTCCATTTGGGCAAATACTTTACTTCATGTGCTTGTAATGAGGCGGTGCTAAAGTCCTGTACCCATGTATATTTCAACTTTCTGATGTATTGCATTCAAGACCAGGCCCATCAATAAATCAAGGTCATTATAGAGTATTCTAAAAATATAGAGGAAGTATTTCTTCCTTGATACTATGACAAGATGATTTGCTAAGAGAGCTGATGACCTTTTTCTAAACAATGGCCGAATGAAACTTTTCATGTGACGTCCTGTAGCAGGTTAGCCCTCACAGTTTGTTGACATCAACAGATTGGAAGCTATTGTGAGACCCTATGTTGAATTGGGGTTTTGTGGTCCCCCTCCTGCCACAAGCATATCACAATACTTGATTGGCACTCACTCTCCTAGAGGAGGAGTTAACCGTATGTCTCTTTCAGCTGGGCTGACTGCTGCTCTCTCTCTCTTGCTCCAGTAACTGGAGGCACAAGTTCCTTCTTCCCCAGCCTCAACTTCATTTTGCAGGTAAGTGCAGCTTCTAAATGCTAAATCTATCACTATTTTCAAAAGGATAAACCAATATGTTGCAGATAATGCTTCAGTGTTTGTTAGTAATTTAAGAACAGAAACTGACCTCTTTCCTCACTTAGGCAGGATTCAAAGGACTGACATATTGTATAAAGTTGTAGAGATTTTTGTTTTACACATAGCATGGTGACAGTATGTCTCAGATTGTCTAGGGTTAAGAGTAAATCATGTGAGGATTGTTTTTTTCTATGAAACTTTTTTGTCTTGTAGATTGTGTTCATTGCATACTTATTCAGGACAAGCCTAATCGAATGTTAAATACAATTAAGTAAAGAAAGGAGAGTGTTTGCCCTAATTCGAACTTTAAGAGTCAGAGGACATGAGGCCTGCTGCTCAAATCTCAAAGTCTATAAAAGGAACGTCATGGGTGAGCTGTCCAGAGTTGCTATTCCTGGACCTACAGCTGATAAACTGTGACAGATGCAAAGAGGGGGCTGTTTACGCACTCTCTTTCTCTCTCCAGCATCACCTGGCAGCATGTGTGCTTTCAAAGGTGTCAGATCCTGGTATAGTGTCTGAATAAATAAAGTTGAGTAGGGGGCAATCAAAGGCGCCGTTTACACGAGGAGAAAACTGCTTGTATCTGCATAGTTTCGCGTGCGTATAGCCCTATTATTTACACGAGGCCGATAGAAACTGACCCCACAAACGATAACGGGTCCCAAGGTGGATAGATTTGCAAACGAAACGCTCTGGGGGGTCAACCGAGTCCGTGTAATCACCTCTATACGAATATTTCCTGAAAAAATAGCGATAGCCCCACCTCTCCCCACCTCTCCTGCTCACTGCTGTAGCAACTATCAAAAATAGCTGTGTTAATTAAACGCACAAGGGGTTCTTGAATGAAATAATATTATAAAAGGCAAACCAGAATTGTTAACGCCCAATATACTCCTTAAACAAAATAAACAGAGTCAGATTTCATGCATTGATCCATTATATTGACAAAGGAGCGATCTCACCCGGTGTTTGTAGAGAATATCTCTCTTTCTGAGCGGGTCCTCTCCACAGAGACGTGCTTCTTGGTCGGTCGATGCAATATCCACAGATTCGGTTTCTTTCAGTTAACTTCCCCGTTGCATTTATCCATATGCTGAGGAAATTACTATATCCCGCTGAATACCAGCAATCGCCACACACACTTCCTCCTGTCAGTAGCTACTGCTAGTGCTACTGCTACTGACCATGCTACAGATATTAGTGCAAAATCTACAGCTCCTCTACCACAACCATCAGCAACAAGTGGACATGGAGAATTACATGAACTACATGTTGCTAAATACACCGCGGGGCTTAAACAGAAGGGTAGCCATGGCAACATTGCTGCGGGGCTGCTCTTATTCGCTGCTTTTGGTGTATTTTGGCGGAAGTTACAGCGCCACTTACAGTCCCGGCATATGTACTACAGCGTTTCCAGCGGCCTCGTTTGAACAGACACGTTAAATGAAACGAATGCATGTGAACGGAAGACTTTTTTGAATACGCATATTGTGCATAAACGCAAACGTTCCCGTGTGAAGGAGGCCTAATAAGATACAAGAAAAAGACAACAGGTCCGCAAGACAGCATACAATAATTTATAACAATCTATTAATATAGTAGTCTTGTGAACCCTTAAATCCCATCAAGTTTCACTTGTACCAAATAATGTATTTATGATTTATCTGCATAATTTTTCCCTTTTCTGACAAGTTTTATTTATATTTTCAGAAGCTCTGGGCCATATTCCGCTGCTGCCATGGCACCCAAAAAGAACAAATCGACCAAGAAGAATAAAGGAGACATAAATGAAATTACCATAATGGTCGAGGACAGCCCTGTCAACAAGATCAATGGGCTGAACACTCTGTTGGAAGGAGGAAATGGCTTCAACTGCATTTCAACCGAAGTTACTGATTCTGTGTATGCCCCAAACCTGCTGGAGGGTTTGAGCAGCATGAGGCAGGACAGCTTCCTCTGCGATCTAACCATCTCCACCAAGTCAAAGTCATTTGATGTTCACAAGGTAGTCATGGCGTCCTGCAGCGAGTACATTCGAAACATCTTGAAGAAGGATTCAACCCTCCAGACGATCGACCTGAACGACCTCTCACCTGCCGGCCTCGCCACAGCGATTACATATGCATACTCTGGAAAGCTGACCCTGTCGCTGTACAGCATTGGTAGCACCATCGCCGCCGCCATGCTGCTGCAGGTCGGCACCTTAGTGAAGATGTGCAGTGATTTCCTCATGCAGGAGCTCAGCGTGGAGAACTGCATGTATGTGGGCAACATCGCTGATGCCTACAACCTCAAAGAAACCAAGGAAGCATCCCAGAAGTTCATGCGGGAGAACTTCATTGAGTTCTCTGAGATGGAGCAGTTCCTGAAGCTCACCTACGAGCAAATCAGTGATTTCCTCTCAGACGATTCCCTGCATCTTCCCTCTGAGATCACAGCCTTCCAGATCGCCATGAAGTGGTTGGACTTTGATGAGAAGAGGTTGAAGTATGCGGCGGATCTCCTTACTCTCATCCGCTTCGGCACCATCTCTGCCCAAGACCTGGTGAATCATGTCCAGAGTGCGCCCAGAATGATGCAAGACCCAGAGTGCCACCGTCTCCTTGTTGATGCCATGAATTACCATCTGCTGCCATACCAACAGAACATCCTCCAGTCACGCAGAACAAAGGTGCGCGGTGGCCTCAAGGTGATATTCACAGTTGGTGGACGCCCTGCCTTGACAGAGAAATCACTCAGCAAAGAAGTTCTCTACAGAGATGAAGATAACGTGTGGAATAAGTTGACAGAAATGCCAGCAAAGAGCTTCAATCAATGCGTGGCAGTCTTGGACGGCTTCCTGTATGTGGCAGGTGGCGAGGACCAGAATGATGCAAGGAACCAAGCTAAACATGCTGTTGGCAACTTCTGCAGGTAAGAGCTAACAGTTACAGTTGACTTTTTAAATGTTGTCATGTCAGTTTGTGTAGAATGAGAAATTAACTGTAAATCCCTCTCACTATCTTTAGATATGACCCCCGCTTCAACACTTGGATTCACTTGAGCAACATGATCCAGAAGCGCACACACTTTAGCCTCAACATCTTCAATGGCCTTCTGTTTGCCATTGGAGGGCGAAATGGTGATGGCGTTCAGGCCTCGGTGGAGTGCTACGTGCCCTCCTCCAACCAGTGGCAGATGAAAGCTCCCATGGAGGTGCCCCGCTGCTGTCACGGCAGCTCCCTCATCGAGGGCAAGATCCTTGTATCCGGTGGTTACATCAACAACGCTTACTCCAGGGCTGTGTGCTCGTACGACCCCTCCACCGACAGCTGGCAGGATAAGAGCAGTCTGAGCACGCCTCGAGGCTGGCATTGCGCTGCCACCGTGGGAGACCGGGCCTACGTCATTGGTGGTAGTCAGTTGGGAGGTCGTGGGGAGAGGGTGGATGTCCTCGCCGTCGAGTCTTACAACCCTCACGGCGGGCAGTGGAGCTACTGCGCGCCTCTCCACACAGGAGTGAGCACGGCTGGTATTTGTGTTTTGAACAGCAAGGTGTATCTCCTCGGAGGCTGGAACGAGGGCGAGAAGAAGTACAAGAAATGCATTCAGTTGTACAACCCTGACCTCAATGATTGGACTGAGGATGATGAATTGCCGGAATCTACGGTTGGCATTTCATGCTGTGTCGTCACCATACCCACAAGGAAAACACGAGAGTCCAGAGCCAGTTCAGTGTCTTCAGCACCAGTTAGTATATAAAAGTTTAGATCATAATAATGTAGTTCACATGTTATGTCTAAAGTTCTCTATCTTTTCTGGTGCATAAATCTTGGTTTTATCTCTACCAATAGATGCTTTTTTCGTGGCTAAGATGATATCTAAATTGTCATCAACTTTTTTTCAGATGAGCAAAAATGTATAAAAAGAAAGGACTACAAATTTGGAATCTTAAAATATATTTAAAAACAAACATTAATTTCTATATTCAGTTGTTTTAGAGTTTAATAATTGGTATAATTAAGGTCAAATTCTGTTCACAATAAAGACCTAACTAATCTTGTCGTTTCAAAACGGAAATGTACCTTTGGGGCCAATTAAGTTGGGATAAGTGTATTAGCCCTTTTTTCTATAGCAAATATAATGTAATTTAGGAGTCGAATGAAAGGTATAAAAATGGAAAATCACTGCTGTTTTTGAGATTAATCAATAACACGATTGTCTTTTTCACTCAGCGTCATAACATTATAATAGTGTGTTGTTTGTATGCAACACTGTCATCAATAATGTAGGATTTTGTGACCGTCCTTCTAATGACAACTATAATAGCTACTGTGATTATAGATACTTGAACAGAATATTGGGCTAGAACTGGAATAAGTGTTGGCATCTCCTACCAGGAGTAGGTGCTTGTGATTAATTTGTTCAACACAACGCACAGTAAAGCTGCAGTGCTCTACATGCGTCTCATGTACAGCACTCAGATGTCTTGTGTGGTGTGTTGTTGGTTCTTCATAAACACTATCAGAGCAAAGAAGTGGATTTTGATGGGAAAATGTTGGAGTCATGAAGGGTAAATGGGTTGCAATGTGACAGCAATAAACTATTTTGTAAAAAATAAAAATAGAAGTTAGGAAAAACAATGTCAGCCTGAGCTTTCCTGGAAGTGATGTATTCCCTGACTGCTCATGTATTTTCATTTTTGTGTTTGTTTTTAAATTAAAGAGATGAAGTGTAAGCTACACTGAGCCATGATCATTTATTAAAATAATTTTCATGAAAGGTTTTATTATTTTATTATATTGTATGTGGGTTTCTGAAGAGTACTTGACACATACACAGGATCATTTAGCTATTTCAACTTTTTTAAATATATTTGCCTTACCGGACAAAGTACAGTTATAATTGAAGACAGCCAATGCAAGGATTCAGCGACACCAGATTTGTGTGGGGTTAACTGCAGTATTTGTGGACTAGGATTGTAAAGTGATGAGGCAATTTTGAGATATAATCATGACATAAGCACTTTTGATTTCCTGTTTTTAGTCCTGAATCGGTGGTGAAAAGGGCATACATTCTGTATGTGCAGTAAAGTTCATTACCATTGAGATATTGTTAAGGCTTTGAGTCTGCCTTTAGTTAATAAAAAAAACACATAGAGCTTCTAATAATTTACACTGTACAAAATATGTAACACTGTGAGAGTGAGGGTCTTAGACATACAGGATTAAAATAAAGGACTATTATTATAATCTTTGATGTATTCTTGTCAAATCAAACCCAAAGAGTCTAAACCAAAAAATCTGAGAAAATGAAGTGTTTTGAGAGTTTAACCATATCCTTATTTGGGCAGATGTCAGTGCAGTTCAATGCCCTACCTATATAACTTATGTATCCACCCATGCATGTTCAAGTACACACACCTATATAAAAAGTTGAAGGTGCTGTGTCATTATTACATCACTGTTTCTTCCAGGTTGTTGCATTCAGGTGCTCTGGATAAGTAGGTCCTTCCCAAAGTTTGGTTATAAACTTGACTCTTGATGTTTTAAACAGGGTTGTCGAAATGATAAGACAAAGGGATACATAAAAAGTAACTTTTATCTTTCAGCAAAAGCCAGTGAAAAGAAATAAGCTCGCCAAAAGAAAGAGAAAGAAAGAAAGAAGCAGGATCCAGTATTTGGGAGAAATATGAGCATAAACAACTAGGATTACTTTGTATATCACAGAAAAGTTACACCTTATCTTGTAATGTGTACCTTGTTATCAGTGACACAATATTTCCAGCACTACATGAACGCAGCACCACTACCTGATATGATTGACAGGTGTGGGAGGAGCCTATGGGTCGAGGAATGCTGAGTCACCGTGACGTCTCCCGCCCCGCCTGACGCCATCACGTGCGTGAAACCAGGAGGGCGTACATATGCACAACACAGCGAGACTGAGGTGCAGAAGACTGGTTAGGCAAAAACGACCTGACCTCCCGGTTCACTCTGCTGTCAGCACAGCACATCACATAACAACACTTGAACGGACCCGTAACGTGGTCGGTAACCGAGTCGAGGCTAGCAGGCCACACCAGCTTCTCGGGTTGTGCTTTACCGGGCTGTGCAGACTTTAGCAAGTGATGAGCAAGGGCCTGTTTCTTCTGGATGCCCCGCTAAGGTTACCGACAGGGCACGCTTAACGCTTAACTTAAAAACACCTGTTTTCTGCCTGTGAACCCTCGGACAGCACCGCAAGGACCCGGGCTGTGTCGTTTGTTTGGACCGACACTTCATGCTAGCTCCGCCCCAGGTGGACACACTAGCTAGCTAGCTAACGCTCAGCGTGCAAGTTGATTTAAGACAACAGCAGCAGCACCTCTAGTCTGTCTGTGCGATGGGTCTGCTGTCACAGGGCTCTCCAACGAACTGGGAGGAAACCAAGAAGTATGCCGACCACATCAGAAAGCACGGTATTATTCAGTTTCTCAACATCTACAACAAGTTGAAGGAGCGACAGAAAGATGTGTTGAAATGGGGCGATGAGGTAAGAAAGGAGCTTTTTATCTTAGAAAGTGCTGCTGCTGCCTTTGATCTCTCTGCATGATACAATAGTGATCCTTCATTGACATAAATAAGATTTTGTTTTTATTATCGTTTCTGCAAAATCAAAATGCAACCTTACATTGTGTAATATCTTAAAAAGATTGGCATGCATATAAGTTAGTTATATATTAGAGTACATGTTCCCACTAAAACACTGCATAATGTGTTTAGGTTAGTTGTCAACAAGGTGTTAGTTGTTGTCACTTGTTGCATTGTTAGCCTAGTTACTAATGGTTATTCACTTACAAAAAGTATATCTTATGAAAGAGCTGCTTATAAATGTTATTCCTGAGTATTACTGCATTCAACCACTGACCATCCCACCCCCCCACCCCCCCTATTTTCTGTTTTGTTTATCTGTTTTTGTTTTTTTATTCTCTGTCAAAGTGTCTTTGAGTGTCTAGAAAAGCGCTATACAAGTATCATGTATTATTATTATTACAATCATGCCGTTTCCTAATGACTGTATAATGAATAAAACACCCCAGGCTACAAGACTCCCCGTGTTGAGTAAACTTTAACCTAAATCCTGGTTCATTATCCTTTGTTAACAAACAGTTCGTAACACATTAGTTTTTGCCCGCCACCCAGTCCACAAAAGTTCAGAGTGCTCCAGCTTTGAACAAAGTGTTTTGATTTTGAACATTGTGGAATGCTGTTTTTATAGATTAATCCCTCTTTCAGACAGGGGATTAGAGGGTAGCAGAGTCAGAGTCAAGGAAACATAACTGATGAATTGGAGTTGATGTGCTGCCGTCTGATCTTGAACATGGCTGCTTTGTGCCTTTGTTTAGCGATGATTGAAAACCTTAAAAGAAATGAAAAGAGTGCTTAACAAGAATGTATTTCATTGATTGACTGTTTAACTGATAATGGATCCTGCTTACGTTTGATGATTTGCATTTTAGGTTGAGTACATGTTGGTTGAATTGGACGACAAAGATGAGAAGGTTCGACTCGTACTGACTGGCGAAGATCATTTGGAAACCCTCCAAGAACAGGGCGAAAATATAAACCCCAAGTAAGTAAGCTCGCCACAGAATAAACGCAGCTGAATGTAATACATAAGATCTATCCATCTTTATACTGTGTAGTTTTAAACAAGAACCTTTTCTTCTTTAACTTTGTTTCCGTCCTCCCCCAATATGCACCTGTTGTTCAAGTCAAGTTATCTGTCTCGCATTCAGAAATGGCAACGCTTAAATTCATTAATCTGAATGTATGCACGTCATATGCCAAGAGTGCTGTTGTCAGTTTGTGATTTTGTTCTGGATTACAGAGAGCTAACAACTAGCTGATTGGGTTTTTAAAGTATTGTGCTGATGAACCTTGGCCTTGGTGCATGATAAAAGTACAGGCTGTATAGAAGTCAAATTGTCATGCACACATTCCCAGGTATTGTTTTGTTATCTCTAAAGCTGCTACACACCCACATATTTATTATGGCAGATTAGATCCTGTCAACGGAGTCTGTTGAACCCATTGAACGAGAATGTAAACATGAAGAGCGACTTTTGAAGAGTGAGACAGCTCTCTAGAGAAACATTTGAATTTGAGATGAACTACAAACACTGTAGCTGCTCAGTTGAGGGTTATTTTTGGTAAAGTGTATAAGAAAAGCTAACATTATTCACCTGCTGCAAACTTGAAAATAACTTTTAGGGATTTTTCTGCATTTCCCTTGTGTGTTGTGGAGCACTCGGGCTCTCCCTGTAGTCCCACCGCGTTTCACTCACACTGAATTTGCCTGCATGCCTATAGGCTATATTAGAGGATTTGACTTTCAAAGTCATTGTTCATTCATCATCCGTATAACATGTGATGATTACTAACAAGTCTGATCCCTTTTACAATGCAGCAGAGTTTCTCCTCTAGCTGTGCACACCCTGATCTGTACCATTGACAAACACGGTCAGGATTCAAAGTCTTTCAAACGATTATACGTGCATTGACTGCTCCGTCCTGTTCTCTCTCCTGTTCCCATTCATGACTCCGACACATAGCTATTGACCTCACTCTAGGGATTACATCACCAGTGAGCCATTTTCCTCTCTCTCCCTGTCAATCATTAAGTGCTGTTCTACTCTTTATGGGGCTTTTATTTCTCTTTCTCAAAGTTCTTCAAAATAAGAGACTTGTTGCTTCCAATTAGAAGTGTCGGATATAGGGATAACCGTATATTTAGAAATTGAAATATTAAAATAATGACTAGCACACGCATGATTATCGTTTAAATAATACAGTGTGTCTTAAATCATTTCCGTTTCTTTAAATCCTCATGGTTTGTTTTCTTCCCACAACGCCCCAAAGAAAAATGAGTCTAAAAGATTTGTTTCAAATATTGTTATCATGTTTTTGCCACATTGATCGTGAAATGAAAATCTGATATATCGGCAACGCTAGTTATATACCAAAACTTGTTTTTTATTTCACAGTGTTGGTGCACACATAGTCTCAGTGTTTCATTACTCCCTTCGATTTATACCCAAACATAGTTACTTGCAGAAAAACATTAACATTTTCTGAAACGTCATCGCCCAAATGTACTTAAACACGCTGTGAACAGAGAACTTTTTATTAGCTGGTGTGAGCATATTCAAATCCTATCTGAACAAGAGGCCGTTTTTTTGGCAAAACTGTTAATATGGTAAAAAAAGAAAATCGGATAAACTCTCAAACATTTAGAGATGATATGAGGATGATTTCTCTGAGGTCACCCGTCAGAGATAACAATAATTTCTTCTCTTAGGAGCGCCGTTTGCATTTCCAATCTGTAGTGACATTGCTTTAATAAGAGGCATTGTGGGTACCGCTGTAAACGTGTTGGTACAAGCTTCTGAGTGTTATGTTTGCGCGCTGCCCATGACGTCGGTCTGAATCTGTGGAGCCAACTTCACCCAGGGGAAATACCAGGGGCAGTGGGAATAGTGGAGCCGATGCATTCCTCATTACTGCCCCTCTGTAGCACACACCACCGAGCACGCTCCGGAGCACAAATACGTTGCATTTGTTTGCCGTGCCAAGATTACGGCGGACATACGAGCGGTCGGTTCATTCAATCAGAAAGGTCCTCGCGATAACGTTTTTCTCCATGGCCTCTTTCCTCGCTGACCTATAAAGCGAGACTGTTTTCACAACACTTTTCCTATTTGTACAGCCACCCCACTCTTTGGAGACCGGAGTATGGCAGCTACATGATCGAAGGAACTCCAGGGCAGCCGTACGGAGGG